AGCCATCACTAGGCCTCCGAGTGCCAAACTTCCCTTGTCTGGTGACATCCCAGAAGGACAGCCTTCGCTGCGGCACCCATTCCCTCACCTTTACCACTCCTCCAGTACCTCGAGATCCCCGTCCACGCGGACGTCTTCCAGCTCGTTACAGGCACTCAATGAGGATGTAGTAGTCGATGCTCGGTCGGATCACGGCGGCATCGGGCGAACTCCCATCGCCCGAAAGATGGTGCACCTGAGTCAGTCGGAGATGCCACCCGGCGATTATCCTGTCTATCCTGACCAGTCATACGCCGTGCTTCAATCTCAGGTTCATCCCACGTATCAACCTCCCTTTCTACGCACCCGCAGCTCGTATCCGTCTCGGATCGAGGCGGCTTCTCGATTCCCTCCTGCACGTGCGGCGCGCACGGCGGGCAATACACCCATCTCTAGCCCCGGTCTTTTTTCGGTGCGCAGCCCTCGCTCAACTCCTCCGATCGCCTCGGATGACGAGGGTCGGATAAGTAGCCCATATCTTCATCCGACCCATCTTCAACCACCCAAAGAGTAAGTCCTGGCCCTCATTCCATCCAAGTCGTCATCTGGGGCATTTTCTTGTCTTGTTGAAGAGCTCGCTACTGACCAGCCGAACAGGACCCATACAGCGGAGGTAGACCGCGATTTGATCACCGGCAACAAGCTGATCAATCAATACGAAATCCTCGAGGAGCTCGGACGTGGAGAACATGGAAAGGTCAAACTAGGTCGCCATGTCACGACTCGACAAAAAGTCGCCATCAAGATCGTCCAGCGATACTCTAAGCGTCGTCGCTTGGGAAAGTTGGGCAATCCTGAGGATAAGGTGAAGAAAGAAGTTGCCATTCTGAAGAAAGCTCGACATCCAAATGTTGTCAGTCTGCTGGAAGTGATCGACGACCCTAACCGCCAAAAAGTATACATAGTTCTTGAGTATGTGGAGAACGGTGAAATTATCTGGCGCAAGAGAGGTCTGCGGGAAATCGTGCATGTTGATAAGCGCCGATTAGAGCGGGAAAAGGCTGGCATTCCCGAAACCCCTTCGTTCATGGAGGAAAGCCAGCAATATGTGAAAACCGCCCGACATCTCCGTCGCCAACGCGAAAAGGCACGCGAACGACTCGAAGCGCAGGCCGCATTTGCACAGGAGGCTCCTATCCCAGCTTGGAGTCTAGAGCATGGCGCGGAGTCCGACGAGGAGCAAGACGAAGAGTCTGGCATGGCTCGCATTCCGAGTCGATCCCTGATGTACCATGATGAAACCCAGTCTTCTCCGTGCCATTCTTATGCATCGGGTCCCGAAGCAGCATTGGCTGCAGTGGAAGGCAGCATGTATGGTGCCTATGCGGATTACTCTTTCGATAGAAGATTCAGCACGGCATCTAGCAGCTTTGGCTACGCCCCCTCCGAGCCCGAGTGGCTCAGTGATGATGATGATATGTCTTATGTACCCTGTCTAACGTTTGCGGAGGCGCGTAACGCTTTCCGAGACTCGCTGTTGGGGTTGGAATACTTGCACTTCCAAGGTATCATCCACCGCGATATCAAGCCAGCGAACCTGCTGGTTACCAGCAATTACCGAGTCAAAATTTCCGACTTCGGGGTATCTTACCTTGGCCGGCCCATCAGAGACGAGGATGAGGAGCATATCGAGGAGACAGACGCGACTGAATTAGACGATGCAAGGGAGTTGTCCAAAACCGTGGGGACACCCGCCTTTTATGCACCGGAATTGTGCTACACGGGTGAGGATTTTGTAGACAGTCTCGGTAGCGCTCCACGAATTACTGGTGCTATCGATGTCTGGTCCCTTGGTGTCACCCTCTACGGCATGATCTTCGGACGTCTACCATTTGTCTCAGATGACGAGTATAGTATGTTTCAGACTATTGTGAAGAAAGAGGTGTTCATACCCCGAAAGCGCTTGAAGCCAGTCGAGGATAATCCTGATGCTGCCAGCCAGTGGCCGCGCTTCGACGACTACAGCAAGCGAATGGAGGATGAATTGGTGTACGAAGACATTGACGATGAGCTCTATGATCTCCTGAAGCGGCTGTTGACCAAGGACCCAGTCAAGCGGATCACGGTGAAGGAGATCAAGCACCATCCTTGGATTCTCTACGGCCTTCCCAACCCCCGAGCTTGGGTCGAAGAGACCGACCCGGGATATCAGAGCAAGGGCAAGAAAATTGAAGTGTCTAACGAGGAAGTCACCACAGCTGTCAGCAAAGTACCTCTTTTCCAGAGGGTACGATCCAATGTCGCGAAATGGTCGAATTTCCTGACTGGACGCTCGAAAGAGAAGGATAGTCGCAAGCGCATTCCCAGCAACAACTCCGCTGACCCCGGCTCTGCCAAGTCTCTCTGGGAGGGGCGCCGTCACAGTCTTAGGGGCGATGAAGATTTCTCGCGTTCAATCCGCCATCTTCGAGATGGCGAACACCCCCTTTCACGGAGTGTCACCGCAAGTCCCATTGGCCGAGACGAGCAGACCTCTTACTTCATTCAATCCGGACCCAACCCCTCACATGGACGGATTGTGCGCCCCGACCCCCCGGAGCGCGCGACCTCGACCTTGTCCACAGCCGAGTCTGCAAAGACTGTGAAGCCACACGACTCCAGGAATTCACCAGTACCACAACGGACGGGCACGCCTGTTCGCGTAGAACATTCGGGTACTACGAACTTAAGTGGGCTTTTTGGCGGCGCAAGCCGTCGGCTAGCACGTGGACTTCAGCCTCAGGATTGGCGCTCTGATCGGTCCGTTTCCGGCGAGACAGCATCTTTGGAAAGTGACCGCCACTCGGAGCCCAGTTTGGCTATTAGTGTTACTTCTGCGCTTGGTCACATGCAACATCCTGCCCTGCGTTCTAATGAGGATCTACTTTCGATCCCTCATGACCATGCACTGTCCTCATCCCCAGGTCACCGTCGTAATCGCTCCCATCAGCTTCCAGGTAAACACGCCGAACCCTTCCATCTCACTCGAGAAGCCTTGCTACGGAAGAGACGGAGCGGAATGGAGTCGACATTCGACATGGACCATGTGCCGACCCGTGGCTCCCATGGACCAGACCACGATACGCTCATTCCACCGTATGATGTTTACGCGCAGGCTACCGGCCCCTCTGTTGAACACTTCATCTCCGGCGAGTCCTGCTTAACAACCTCACCGCCCTCGGCTGCTACTATCTCTTCGTCCTCGGTGGACGAATATACTAGCGGAATGTCTCAGCGAACCTCTCATGCGAGCATCCCGTCCGTGGTGTCAGGGGCATCTTCTATCTCGGGGGAGGGCGGTACCCGAGATAGGGATTGTGATTCTGCAGCTAAAATACCCTCAATTCTCCGTACCGACGACACTGTGAAAGCCCCGCCTCTCAGCCTCCCACGCTCGACCGAGGATGATGAATCTCGGTATTATTGCGATGATGAGGAAGAGTCTGAAGGGGACTCAGAAGATGAAGGCCTCGTGATCGGCAAGAAGAGGACCACCCCCCAGAAGCCTATCATTCGGTCGGGACTCTCAAAGTCCTAGTCCACGTTGCGTCTAGATGGCGCCTTTCCCAGGTACCTGGCACGGAGATCTCGATCCCTGTCTGTTTTATGACTTTTGATGTCGTCGTCTAATACATCGATAATGAGTCTCGGGGGGCTCCTTCCTTCGCTGAACATCTCGCCGCTTCTAGTCGACAGGGGCTTACATATTTTTGCATGTATATCAATTAAGTTCTGGCTTCTTCTTTCTTTTCTTGCCTTTTCCAGGCATATTGCATCTCTTCCCTGGCTCACGGGAAGCTCCTCTTCTGGGACTGCGTGTCTGTTGGCTTACGATTACATTGCTTGTACATATATTTGCATGGGCGGCATGATCATATTTGGTCTGGGTTTCATATTCAGCTTCGTGCTAGGCGACATGCGGAGGGATTGCTCCGCTCGTCTTGGTTTCATTTGCCTCTATAGGTATATCTCCGGTTTGCGTGCTGCATTGGGTCTGGGGTCTGGGAATTCCTGTATCTAATGCTTGATTTCTGGGAGGTGGGATCAGGATATAAACATTGCACCTGATTGTTTTTTTTGATGTTTTCTTTCTATCATGATTTCCTGTCCTTGTACTTCCGAGTTGGATTTTCAAGTGACTTATGACGCGCAAGACGCGATGTGTTGAGATGACAGAATTACATGATGTTGATGACCAGGTGGGAGTCGATCTACCTAATATACCATGTTGCGCGAGAGTCCTCTCTTTCTTTTTCTTCCTCTTCCCCCCCCACTCCCTCAATTTCTCTTCCTCTGTCTCTCTCTCTCTCTCTTTCTCTCTCTCTCTCTCTCTCACACACACACATCGGTTGAAATCCAACTCCATTTATAGACACTCCCTGCCCCTGGCGTGTCATGTCGAAAGTGAAACGGAGGCTGAAACGAGCCAAGGGCGGTAGATCGGTTATTCTGCCGTGCCTTGGACGAAGGAAGTAGTCCAGGCCGAGGCCGAATTGCTGAAACTACTCCATTGCTCGGCCGCTCATGCCTCTTATTCCTCTCAGTTGGCAGCTGACAGCTGCCAGTCGCTGTCACGCAACCCTCCTTCTTAAGCGAGGATGGGTTCCTTTTCTTTCTCTTACGTCTTCAGTTAATTGTTCTGCTACCACCAAAGCCAGAAATGAGGCCACCGGCGTGCCACCGGCCATTCCCCACCGGCCACTCAATTCTATTCCTCCACCAATGACTCTGCCGCTACCGACTTTCCTCGAATCCCTTTTGAGTCTGGCAGCGCTGGCTACTGTACCCCAGCGTCATGCTTCGGTTAGGATAGATTAAGTCGTGGAGAAACCTAACGAGCTTGGGGCACGCTAAGGTGTGCAGACCTGGTTCTTCACGGTTTATGCTCCGTCCACAGGCTAACTGTCGGCAATGGGCAGGGCACGCATGACTGCTGCCATCTTTTTATCCACTCCACTTCTTTCGACGCCCATAAAAAGGCGCATGGGGGCCCTTCTTCCTCATGTTCTTGTCTGAAAGTACTCTGCCTGACTAAAACCCTCTCTCAGCTCAATCGTCATGTTCGCTTCTCTGCTGCTGGCTGCGTTGCCCCTTCTTGCCCACGCCGCGCTCACCTATCGCGGCGCAGACATCTCTTCTCTCTTGCTGCTGGAAGATGAGGGCTATAGCTATAAGAATCTCAATGGCCAAACCCAAGCCTTAGAGACAATTCTCGCCGATGCTGGCATCAATTCCATTCGTCAGCGTGTGTGGGTGAACCCCAGCGACGGCAGCTACGATCTGGATTACAATTTGGAGCTGGCCAAGCGGGTCAAGGCGGCTGGCATGAGCATTTACCTGGACCTGCATCTGAGTGATACATGGGCGGATCCTAGCGACCAGGTGAGTCGGTTGCATTGTAGCAACCATCCAGTCGAGGTGATGGCTAGGCTGACCGTGTTTGGAACATTAGACGACACCTTCCGGCTGGTCCACGACCGACCTCGGCACTTTGAAATGGCAGCTGTATAACTACACGCTAGAAGTATGCAACACTTTTGCGGAGAACGATATTGATATCGAAATCATCTCGATCGGCAATGAGATTCGTGCCGGTCTTCTCTGGCCTCTGGGCGAAACGAGCAGCTATTCGAACATCGGCGCACTGCTGCACTCGGGTGCTTGGGGAGTGAAGGATTCCAACCTGGCGACCACCCCCAAGATCATGATCCATTTGGACGACGGCTGGAGTTGGGATCAGCAGAACTACTTTTACGAGACCGTGTTGGCCACGGGCGAGCTGCTGTCTACGGACTTCGACTACTTTGGTGTTTCCTACTACCCGTTCTACAGCGCGTCAGCAACTTTGGCATCCCTGAAGACTAGTCTGGCGAACCTGCAGTCGACCTACGACAAGCCGGTGGTGGTTGTGGAGACGAACTGGCCGGTCTCGTGCCCGAACCCGGCGTACGCATTCCCCTCGGATCTGAGCTCGATCCCCTTCTCGGTCGCGGGCCAGGAAGAGTTCCTCGAGAAGTTGGCAGCCGTTGTGGAGGCCACTACTGATGGTCTGGGAGTGTACTATTGGGAGCCAGCCTGGATTGGCAATGCTGGGTTGGGTTCGAGCTGCGCTGATAACCTGATGGTGGATTACACCACGGACGAAGTGTACGAGAGCATCGAGACTCTCGGGGAGCTCTGAAAAGGGGCGAAAGATAAGATTTTGACTTTTGTAGGATACTAGTATAATTCAGGATGTTGATGCGTCTGGAAATTGTGGGAAGGGGGGGATGCGTGCTCCATCAGCTAAGGTAGTAGGTAGCTAGTTTACTCCAAGTCTCCAAGCGACAATGACAGACCATTTGCTACTCACCGCCTGGTAAATTAGGGCCGGGGTAAAACCAGGCCAGGGTCATCTTGAGTTGGGTATAGAATATTTGCCAAGGAATTGAACTTCTGTCCTTGAGTAAAGAGAACTGCACCTTGATAATTTGCTTTTTGATCTACCTTGATTTCGATCTTATCACACACTCTCACACTCACTCACTCTGTCTCCGTTCGCATGGAGAAAGTGGGGGCTGTGCAAACGTGATCTAAACGCTTGTCGACCGCCCACTTGAAGTGCGGCAATTTCCGGGTTCTGGTTCCGCGCGGGCAGCATCGAACCTTCAGAAAGAAAGGGCCTTTGTCTTATGTCCAGGAGCTTGAAGTTCCTCTGGAAAGGCTTAGATTATTGACTAACCGGGTTCTCCTGCTGGGGAAACAGTGAGCATGGAAGACTGGTTGGTGGTTCCTGGCGCGACGCCGGACTACTGAGCTATTCACTCATAGCTAACTCGCTGTAGACCTGGAAGGAGGCGGAGTTGCTTGAACCGTCCGTCTCTGGTAAATGATGGGCAGGGAGAACGGAACAAGATAATCACTGATTGGGTGGGGACTTTTTCTGGTTTGTCGCACAATTAGGAGGAATACGAAGGGCCCTGATTTAACTTGTAAGGGGGATGGGGGACAGTTCCTTTCTGATTTCTTTTAAGTGAAGGTGGGCTAGACGCAGAATCGTTCTCTTTTGATGCCTGAGAACCTGAGAAGAATGATACTGCGTACCGTCTGTATGTACTGTACTAGGTAGGCTGCTGTGTTGTTGTATGGGGATTGCCTCGCTCGAGGGGAATCCAGCCACTCAACTAGCTGCAGCTCCATCGCAAAGAATCGGATTTGACGTTGAAGACGATGCTGAAATATTCTGTTTGTCTGTTGTGCTATGTAGCTGGACTAAGGCCCCCAAACTCTGGGCATGGCGGTTGCAGCGTTACTTCCTTTCGATAAGTTAGCGGCTCGCTCATGGGGTTAGTCTAGGTATGTACAGTACTCATAATTCATGATCACATCGATCTGACAGGATAATACAATAATCCGAAGTGCTTCCATGACAGGTCTTTTTCTTGGCTAGTCGTATCGCGAGGTATAATAGGATCTGTAAGAAATAACTTGGTTCATTTAGGGTAATTACTGCTGCTGCGGAGTACTGCTCTTGGAAATCTGCCTTGCCGGCGTCACGCAGTTGGGTAGAGGATAATGATTGTGTATTATTGTACACTACAGTACTGTACTTACATTTTTAGCACGTGCCTGCCGCCCAGTCAGGCAGCCAGGCTGTTTGTACTGTACTGACTGACTGTACTCTGTACACACGCGCGCACTGCTTCCTTTCTACTTCTCCCCCCTCCTATTATTTGAATCCTTCTTCCTCTTGTTCTCCTCCTATTCTTGCTCTGGGCAGCATCTCCTGGTTCTTCTATAAACACAGTACCTTTACAGATTGCTGTTCCACAGCAACTACAGGATTGGATTGCTTCTTGCACGTCCCCTGCTGCCCGAGAATGTGAAGCTCTCCCGACCGACCGACCGACCGACCGACCGACCGCCCGCTCGCTCATGCTTGCTGATGCTTGCGCCACGAGGCTGAATCTTCTCTCTGTCTCCTCTTTCGTGCTCCCCCTCCTTATTGTTATTATTATCTTATCCCTCAGGTTGCTCTCTGCTGCGGCCATTCCCCCCCCCCCCTCTGATCCACGGTGCCTTGAGTACTTCACGCGAATGACAGCTCGAATCGCACCCCCTTGACTTCCTTGCTGTGTCTGGCCGTGGATTGAATCTCTCTCTCAGCTTGTCTTGTCGCCTGCCCTTCCTGCCCCGTCTTCCACCTTCCCCTCCTCCGCCCGCCGCATCTGACTCGTCTGCTTCCCTCCTCTATTGTACTCCCTACACGCTTTCTTCTCCTCTCACCTCCCCGGGCCTCTTCTTAACCTTGTCCCTTTCGTTCCTTTCCCCCTGCTGATGACATCCAGTCGGACTTGATCTATTTTCTTCTTCCTCACCACAGCCTACATCGCGTGGGTTCTATTTTTGGGATCTCCCCGTCGTCATATTATGGCTTCACACGAGACGCTCCGCGATTCGGGGCAGTCTTCGGCCAATGGACACAATCGCAGTCCTAGTCCAGCTCACAATCCACAGCCCTATAATGACCTCTCATCGGGCTTGACCTTGGATATTTCGGTCGCGACGACCACTCAATTCCCTGCCTTCACCAACGTCTCGCAGCCTGATTCTTACGGCTACAACCCCGCCGCCTATCTCTCCGCGCAAACGCTGGCTCCGGCCTCGCAGAACTATTCTCAAACCCTGCAGTTACCTCAGTCCTTCAATCCCAACTTAGTGCATCAATTAGATCAGTCGAGGGGATTTTCCATGCACCAGCAACAGCAGCAACAGCTGCCCTCAGAAGAGAACTTCTCAACCTTACTGAATTCCAACCCAGCCGACTTTGACTTTGCCCTCTATCAAAACCCCAGCCCCAACAGCACGGCCGCCCCCGAATACGACTCACCGCTGATGCTTGATCCTCACGGGCAGTCTCAACCCGCCAACCACGGAGTCAATCCTGCCGACCTGATCAGCCAGATCCCCTCTACCCGTCGCTCGGCGTCACCGCAGTTGTCTCCGGTCTCGCCACAAGACTATCACCAGCACTCTTCTCCCGGCCCGATGTCACCTCCGACTTCCACCCCTGGAACCTACTATACCCCGCAGCATTCCCGGCATACTTCCTTGGATCCCGCTACCGCAGCCTACATGTCCGGCAACTCGCATCACGACTGGCAGGCAGTTATGGGTAACTCCGCATTCCAGGGCCATCGCCGGGCTCCTTCGGAGGTGTCAGAGGTTTCTTCCGCCGCCCCCTCGCCATATATGTCGCAGCATGAATCTTTCGATAGTTTCGATAACAACCCTTCTCCCCTCCTTGCGCCGCAGAATGACCCCGGTCTGTACGAGAACGCGCTGGGGATAGAATCCTTCACACTCTCGGAGCATCAGCAAGCGCATTCGCAACCAGCATTGAGTCCGGCACACAGCCCCTTTATTTCACCGCAGTTGATGCCACAGCAGGGAGCGGACATGATTCCTAACGTTCCATACATATCCGCGCCCGCTCTGAATTCGCAGTACCCGACTCCCCCGACTGACATATACACGGAGAGTCTGTCAGCCCAGGGGAGCACTAGCCCTGGAGACATGGGGCAGGCGTCCCAAATGGCGCCTCCTTCCATCAATGTTGAATTCGCACCCCCGTCCCAGAATTCAAACCCGCCTCAGTCGAAGCCAGCTGCAGATTTGGACTCTTTGAGCCCACCAGTCGCCATCCGTAAGCGTTTCCGCCCGGCCCATTTTGCTTATCGCTAACGTGACTTGCTGTTAGGATCTCGTATGCGCAGCAAATCAGATCCTTATGCCCACCCAGCCTCGCGCGCACGCTCCTCTTCGACCTCGACAAGCCTGGAGCCGTTTAATGGGTCATCACCGCGGTCGCTGTCACCCTTCGATCCGGTTGGGCGTCAACCTCAAAGCAACCCCAGTTCTCGAGAGCCGTCACCGTCGCGGTCTCGTCGCTTATCGACGTCATCCATTGATAGTCGGAATTACATTCTAGGACTCGCTGATCCTCAGCGTCCCGGTGCGAATCTCAATGACTCGAAGCGAGTCCAGAAACACCCCGCAACATTTCAATGTCATCTATGTCCCAAACGCTTCACCAGAGCGTACAACCTTCGCTCCCACCTGCGAACCCACACGGATGAGAGACCATTTGTGTGCACAGTATGTGGGAAGGCCTTTGCGCGACAGCATGATCGTAAGCGACACGAAGGTCTCCATTCCGGGGAAAAGAAGTTTGTCTGTCGAGGCGAGCTGTCTCGGGGTGGTCAATGGGGCTGCGGCCGTCGCTTCGCACGTGCCGATGCTCTCGGTCGTCATTTTCGTTCGGAGGCTGGCCGAATTTGCATTAAGCCCTTGTTGGATGAGGAATCTCAAGACCGAGAGCGCTCGGCTATGGATCAGCAGCAGCAGCATCTTCAGCCGATGCCTCCTCCGTTGATGGTTCCAGGCATGGACGGTCAACCCACCGGGGCTTTCGTTCTTCCCGCCGCTCTGCTGGCCCAATACCCAGCCTTGCAGACGTTACAATGGGATCAGATCCCTGCCACAGCGGATGATCCCAGCGACGTTGGGGGTCGCAGTAGTTTCGATGCAAGCTCCGGCGGCGAATTTGGGTTCGAAGATGACGAGTCGGGACTGAGTACAGTGTCTGGCATCGGCGGAGGCTATGCGGGTGGCGCGGGCATCTATGACATGAATACCCAGGGACATGTGCTTGGGTTCAACCCGGGTGAGACCAGTTACCAAGAGACCGACTGGAGGACATGAGTCCTCTCTCTGCAAACCTGATATTTGCAGGGCTTGACATCCTTGAATCCATCTTCCGCCTTGGCCCTGCTCCTTTGTTTTGGTGCTTGGTCCCGATTGATCCATCCATTCCCCATAGCTAGGGACCAATCTCGTCATGGTTACGATTTGCGATAGAAGGATTTTGGCGTTGGGACTTGGCCAGGCGATTCTCCTGAGGCAGACGGATCCCTGGTGACGGCCGATGAGACCTTTTTTTACCCTTCTTCAATTTTTTTTTTTCATCTTCCTTCCCCTTTGAATCTTTCTCTTCTTTATTACTATATGTGACCACGAAGGACTTTGTTGGCTTTTCATACCCATAGGAACTGCACCAGTTGGATTTGTGCGCAAGATATATAAGATAGTCCTTAATTGGAAGGGCATGCTTGATTCATTGATTCCTTATTTCATATGTTTGGGACTGTTTTTCTCTGGGATATCCCTTTTATTTTCGCCTGCATGCTTGAATTTTGGATTCATACTACCTCTAGACACAAATCAATCTGTGACTGATCAATGAACTATTGTGTAGTTTAGTTGACAATAAGGTGAAAGGTGATCATTAAGTACTGTACATACACTACATACAATGTACTGTATGTACAGTAACTAACTTACTGATTGATAACGAGGGCGGTCGGTAATTATCACATGACGCAATTGTCTCTCCCTTCCCTCATTCTGCTGTGTTTCTCCGCATTTCTCACCTTTCTCCCCTTCTCCCCAAAAGTACGTATCGACTTTCCAGTTTTCTCGCTTTCTCCGAATTTCCCTTTAAAGCCACAGGGAGAAAGCCCGGAATCCACATTCGACACTTTACTCGCTTCGTTTGTCAATCAAATGCGTCGCGCGGCTCTACACGCTCTCCGTACCGCCCGTCGCGTGCCAGCAGGATGGAAGGCTACTGGTAGGAAACCGTGCGCGGTGTCCTTCTCCAGCAGTCCTAATCTCAGTATCCGTCCATCCTCCTCCTCTTCTGCGGGCAGATATCCCCCCTTTCTTCCTGCCACATTACAATCTTCGATGCATCTCCGGAATTTTTCACTTGCAGTGATTTCCACGGTCGTTGCCTCAGGGGCCTGGTATGCGTATCAAGGAAATGCCGGTACCCAGCCGACAACGGCCCTGAACGCAACAACATCCGCCTCGCAGATCCGCTCGATTTCCTCCACAGCCGGCGCTCACGCTGAAGATCCCGTGGAAACCCCCCGCCGTGCCCTTCTGGTGGACAACGACCAGTTTTATACCGCTACCCTATCTGGAGAGCAGCCCCTCTCGAAGCACACGGACGATTCCGACCGTCGGGTCCTCGAGATGTTGACTCCGGAACAGGCGACCCAGAAACTGCGGAAGAACGAGGAGTCATACCTGGTGAATCGCGGTCAGGGTGTGGTACGGTACGACATAGTTCAGGTCCCCAGTAACTCTCCTATCGAGGATGATCATGCCGAAAAGGTTGTCGAGGTGCCATCCTCGGTGGCGGCAGCTCAAGAAGGCCAAGCCAACAGTGATTGGATGTTCTGGGGCGTATTCGATGGTCACTCGTGAGTCACCCTCCCTTCTCCCAAACTAGCAAACGCTCACGGTTTCCTGCAGTGGCTGGACTACTTCCGCTAAGCTGCGCAATGTCCTCATTTCATATGTTGCTCGGGAGTTGAACTCCACCTACAAGGCCGCCGCTGCGGACCCATCAATCCTTACTCCGTCATCGGAAGCGGTGGATGCTGCCATCAAACAGGGGTTTGTTCGCCTGGATAATGATATCGTGTACGAAAGCGTCGACAAGGTATTGAAGTCGAATTCCCGCCGTGTTGCGGCTGAGATGCTGGCTCCCGCTCTTTCCGGCTCCTGTGCTCTGCTGGCTTTCTATGACTCCCAATCAAAGGATCTGAAGGTTGCCGTGGCCGGCGATTCGAGGGCTGTTCTGGGTCGTCGGGGCCCGAATGGAAAATGGTCTGCGACAGCGCTCTCGGAAGATCAGACTGGCGGCACTCCATCTGAGATGCAGCGTCTCCGTCAGGAACACCCAGGAGAACCCAATGTTGTCCGCAACGGCCGGATCCTCGGTCAACTGGAGCCTAGCAGATCCTTTGGCGATGCCTTCTACAAGTGGAGCAAGGAGACACAGGACAAGATCAAACGGCAATTCTTCGGCCGCACACCTCATCCGCTGCTGAAGACTCCCCCTTATGTTACCGCCGAGCCCATCATCACTACAACCAAGGTTGAACCCAGTCGGGGTGACTTCCTCGTGCTCGCCACGGACGGTCTCTGGGAGATGCTGAGTAATGAGGAAGTTGTTGGGCTGGTAGGAGAGTGGGTCGACAAGCAGCAGCAGCAGTCCGGTGGCAGCAAGGCTTGGTTGCGCAGTTGGTTTGGATTTGAAAACAAACAGCTCCCTGTCGAGGCGACCGCTGAGGCCGGCACAGAAGGTCAGCGCCGTCCTATTCGTCAGCAGCAGTATGATATCTCTGGTGCGGCCAGCCGATTCACCGTGGAAGATAACAATGCGGCAACCCACCTTGTGCGGAATGCTATGGGCGGAAAGGACAAGGATATGGTTTGTGCTCTACTGACGCTTCCGAGCCCCTATTCTCGGCGATACCGGTAGGTACCTCCTGTGTGCGTCTTTGATGTGTATGTTGCTGACCTGTTTGATTCCAGCGACGACGTCACCGTCGAGGTCATCTTCTTCGGCGAGGGTCCTGATACCCGGACTATCACTGTGAACCAGGAGGCTAGTGCATCTGAGGAGGCCCCCAAAGCGAAATTGTGATTCAAGCAGTCACCACCACAACTCGAGAGATTTGGCGTGAGCCTCCTTGCCAACAGTACAGACAGTCGGTCGGAATCATCGTGCGGAAGGATGGGTTAGATCCTGGCCTCTTCTCCATCACTCTTCCTTCATACTTGTTAAATCCCGTTCTGTTCAAACTGGATACTGCAAGGATACTCTTTAGGTGAACTGATTGATTCTGCTATGCAGGATCTAGCATTACTTCCCGCGGGACTGGGATGATAAAGTTTGTTTCAAAATGCATTTTCACACATAAAGGCTAGCATTCTATAGGTCACGATATGCTATGAAGTTCTCAAGATATCGCATCCATGATCCTGGTATTACCCAAGCTATTGAGCATCTTCCGCGTAATATTATGCATGGTGCAGAGGATGTTTCAATCAACGAATATAGTCGTCCCGGGCGGCTCCTAGCAGTTCTGGTCTGCATTCGAGTCCTTGCAAGATAAAGGTATTGCAGCCCGTGATGCTTCACTTACAGCGCCCAAACTCCGGACACCGTGATCGAGCGAATTCAGACGGGATCAATACACATTAGGAAGGGCGTTCGGCCTCTCAGGGCCAAAAATTCGGCATCGTATGTTCGCCTCGCTCAAATGAGCAAGTAGCTTTCGCAACAATCAAGTCGTCGGAGGTTAGTGGCAATTGCTCATCAGCACTATCGAGCTATTCCCCATCTGTTGAAATGAGTATTTCATCGCTATGCAAGGGGCTATAACGGCGGCGACTCTTGCCGAAAGAATGGGTAAAAAACCAGGCGATGGTATTCTCGGATTCCAAGGCTATACAGCCCGCGCCTTCTTCACCCCACAACACCAGCCTGCTTCTGGGCCCCCTCCATCTGCCTCACCGGGGTCCTGTAAAGCATAAGCATCCCCTTGCTCCCCATCGACGGCTCCTTCTTCGTTGCATCATCTAGCCCCATCATGCGATCCAACGCCCGATTCTGCAGCGTCGCGATGTTGCTGCTCGTGGCCCAATACAGCAGCAGCGCCGCGGGCGTCTCGTAGAGATACGTCGAAAGCCCGACGTTCAGCGCCATGATCTGGACGAAGGTGCGGAGCGCGCGGAGGAACAGGTGTTTGGGCAGCTGCGCGCGCGGCAGCTCCGCCAGCTCCGCCAGCCGGGGCACCTTCCACCCGACGTGGATGTTGAAGAGGATGGACGCGGTGAGCACCGCGGGCAGCACCCCCGTGGTGTCCCCGGCCAGGAGGTCGGGGAACCAGAGCGCGCCCTCGGCCGCGAGCGTGGGCTCGACCGGGACGCGATTCGCCGTGTCCGACCCGACCAGCCGGAGCAGCCAGGCCAGGAGCCCGCTCTCGCACCCCGCCATCGCCCGGATCGTCTCCATCACCGACAACCACGCCGGGATCGGCAGCAGAAACATCCCCTTCCAGTACCGGCTGATCCCCAGCCGACGGAACATCGCCTTGCGTTGGCGCGCGACCGCGACCGCCGTCTCGGTCCGCACCGAGGGTTGGCGGCGCCCGCTTGATTCTTGCATACTTTGAAGTCGTTGCTGCTGCTCCCGCTTCGCGATGATGCTCGAGCGGTAGTAATTCTGCCAGCAGGCGAGGAGCGGTTGCGCGGCTTTCTCGCGGCGCCCTTGGATCTTCGTGTAGATTTGGATCGGGAGGGCGATGAAGGTTCGCACGATGAGCGCCGTTAGCGGGATGGTGTAGGCCCACGGTAGGCCGGAGAGGTTGTGGACGCCGTGGATCAGCCAGGAGGAGTCCATGATTTCGGCCAGGAAGGGAGCTGGTCGTGTGGGGTGGAAGTGGCGTGTTTGGTGTCTGGGTGGTGTTGCTCTTGTTGTTGTTGCGCGGCGGAGGGGGGTTGAGCGGGCGAGGCGCACGGGGAGGTGGTACATGGTTGCGGTTGGGTGGGAGGTCAATTAGGGTTGGATTTGTTGATTGATGTGTGTATATTATGGGGGGAAGAGAGAGGGAAAAATATGTACAAGGAGAAGAGGAGCATACAATGGATGCTGGGAGAAAAGAAGTTTGGAGAAGTTGTAAATAGGATGGATGGATCCACTTTGGGTGGAAAATGGCTGCGGAGTTTAGCTGCTGTATGTACAATACCAAAGGTACAGTGCAAAACTGGTCACGTGTTGATAAGACCGCGACCAACTGGTCAGAAGTTATCTTATCGACCCTGTGACTCGTCAGCCGGCGGGAACTGCTTGAGATCCACCACTTAGGTTAGTTACGCAACTTATTTACGTATTTCTCCACGCTGTCAACTTACTTCCTTCTTTCCTTCAATCCCTTTCGACCTCTATCATGTTCGTCCCTCATTGAACCATGATGCTGCTCATACTAAAGTCCTTCCTCACCCTTCTCGCCCTCCTCGCCACCTGCGTTCTCTTGCCTCAGCTACCCCTGGCCGTTCTCCGCCTGGTGCTCCGCGCTGTGGGATGGGCCGTGCAGAAACGAACCAGGTCTCGTCGCGAGTACATCGTATCGCGCGTCCGCGCCGAGGAAGAGGAGCTCGCCAGAAAGAAATCTACCAAACCAGCATCGACAGAAGATGAGGATTGGGAAAAGGTCGATACCTCCTCTAGTGCCAGTTCCGGAACAGCTGGCACCAGTACCAGCGATGACTGGAATGGAATCATCGGGTTCCTCCACCCGTTCTGGTATGTTCCCTCCCTCTACACATGCTTATCAAAAACTAAACATCTTGTAGCAACGCCGGAGGTGGAGGTGAACGTGTCCTCTGGGAAGCCGTGAGAGCGACCCAGAAGCGCTGGCCCAAGGCCATTTGCGCCATCTACACGGGCGATCACGAAGTCAACAAGACAGCCATGCTGGAACGGGTTGCAGTAAGTCTCGTCCCTGCTCAAGAAATGCATGGAATCTGACATATCAGAACCGGTTTAACATACACCTCCATGCCCCCACCGTCGTGCTGCTTTACCTGACCACCCGCAAATACGTGGTTAGCAGCATGTACCCCTACATGACTCTGCTGGGCCAGTCCCTCGGCTCTCTAGTTGTTGCCTACGACGCTTTCAATCTACTCGTTCCGGACGTCTTCGTCGATACCATGGGATACGCCTTCACCTTAGCCTTCAGCAAGCTACTGTTTCCTTCCGTCCCGACTGGCGCCTACGTACATTACCCCACCATCTCCACCGACATGCTTAGCTCTCTGGATGACCAGACTGGCACCAAGGGTATCAACGCCGGTGCTGGAAAGGGTCTCAAGGGCCAGGTTAAGCGCAGGTACTGGATCCTTTTTGCTAAACTCTACGGCTGGGTTGGCGGCCACGTTGACGTCGTTATGTGCAATTCCTCCTGGACGTCTGCCCATGTCCGCAGCCTCTGGGGTCCTTCCCGGAAGACCAACACTTTCGAGGAACCAACAGTCATTTTCCCGCCCACCGCGGTGTCTGAACTCGAATCCACTATCCACGTCGACGCCGCAACGGAGGAATCTCGGGAACCCGTTATTCTTTACATCGCCCAGTTCCGACCGGAAAAGAACCATCCTCTGCTTCTGCGCTCCTTCGCCCGCTTCCTCCAAAATTACCGCAACAAGGCTTCTTCTTCGGAGTCTGGAAAAGAACCTAAGCTTATTCTCATTGGCTCCGTCCGCCACGCCTCCCCTGATGAGACGCATATCTACAACCTCCGCTTGCTCGCCCACGAACTGCGCATTCGCGACAACACGACATTCCTCTGCGACGCCAGCTGGCCCACCATCCTTGAGCATCTTGCATCCGCCTCCGTTGGCGTCAATACCATGTGGAACGAACACTTCGGCATTTGCGTTGTGGAGTATCAGGCCGCGGGGTTGATTAGTGTTGTCCATGACTCCGGCGGCCCTCGTGAGGATATCGTCGTTGACCTTGGCGACGGCGCTACGGGTTTCCGGGCGAATACGGAGGACGAGTTTGCCGCTGCGTTTGAGGCCGCCTTGGCTCTCCCGGAGGAGGAGAAGGTCGCGATGCGGCTGAGAGCGCGCAAGTCTGCGCTTAGGTTCACCGAGGAGGAGTTCTCTCTAAAGTGGATCAAAGAGGTTGAGAAGTTGGTGCAGCTGAATGGAAACCAAGGGTGACAGATAGCAGATAGTGCGTTGTCAGGTTACTTCCTTCCTGTGTGAAGCTGGCGATGCGTGCTTCTATACTGGGGTAGGGTAAAGTGGCAGCTAAATGATGTTTGCATCTTCATACCACATGCTGTTCGCTTAGGCCATATGAGATCTGTTTGTAACCATACCTCAATGGCGCTTATATCTCCTAAGTGCGAATAGCGAAATGAAATAAATATATCTTTCGTCCATTTAATCTAGCAAGAGCACATCGAATACATATCCGTCACAAGGAACAAGTTGTGGACACTGTGCGGAGTAACCCTGTAGAAACAAACTATAGTTACCTGGCAACAAAAGATCCCGCCGCCAAGCCCCTCTCGGCTGTGTCGTCATGCCCCGCGGAATTAATTATTCATGCATGCAGAGAGAGATTCCTTTATCTTTTCTGCTTCCTTTTTGTACACCACAAGCCCCCACCTTCTCCTCTACCAATTGGCTCTATTTTTCCCTAACCATCTTGTTCCACGAGGTTCAATCCCGCACTCCTTCGAATGTCCTCTCGTGCTATCCGCAAGCTGCAGAAGCAGCGCGAACAACAAATACAAGCCGAGCAGGAGAATGACGGATCCAGTGACGATGAGCTGGTCTCGCGACCCTCAAAGCCGAAACTCAACGCCTTCGACCTTCTGAATTCCTTTGGCGACGATAATGAGGAGGAAGATGATGATGACAACGCCGACGCCGACGAACAGTCCGAGAAAGAAGTTGAGGTGTCGGAGCCGGTGACTCAGCCCGCGCAAGAAGCGAAGGAGGATGAGGAAGAAGATGAAGAGCAAGAGAAAAGGGAAGCTGTCAGAGCCGTGAAGCCCGCAGGCTTAGGGAAGAGGAATAAGAAGAAGAACAAGAACAAGAGAAAGAAGGCGACCGCCGCCGCCAACGCCTCCACCACCACCACGACCGCCAAAGCAGGAACTTCGGCCGCCGCAGTCACGACAGGCGAAGATGAGATCGACCGCGCGCTCAAGGCACTAGCTGTTGACCCCAAACACCCCACAGCGGGCGGAGACGGCTGGGGCCGTGATACTTCGTTTGCGAAAACACCGGAGGATCTACTGGGCATCGATCCACGGGATCTCAATGCGACGAACGAGATGCGCAAGTTGTTTGGGAATGTGGTGCTGGAGAACTTTGATCAGGATACTACTGGGTCGGGTGGGCGTCGGAGGGATCGCGGACCGGAGACGCTGGACTTGGGACAGGCCCTGACGGGCAGGTATAGCCCCGCGAGCAGGGGCCAGAGTCTGGCTGGCGTGACGCTGCGGCGCAATGTCCTCATGCAAGGCAAGGATGAATGGCCCCGGGCGCCCAGCGGAGGGCTGGGTATGGAGCTGGTCGAGAAACGCGCGGACGGCAATACACTCTACAAGATCCTCCACAATGCTGCGTACACCGATGTGCAGAGGCAGTTTGAGATCTGCGTGGAGTCGATGGATCCCCAGCGCATGATCCACCTTTTACAATACAACCCCTACCACATCTCCACCCTGCTCCAGGTGTCGGAGATCGCTAAGCACCAGGGTGATCACGCCGTCTCCGCGGATCTGCTTGAGCGGGCACTTTTCAATATCGGGCGCTCGGCTCATTCCTCTTTCGGGAACCTGCTGAAGCAGGGACGGGCGAAGCTGGATTTCGTGCAGGAGGCCAACCGTGAACTCTGGCTTGTTGGCTGGCGGTATATTGCGAATCTGGGTATGAAGGGCACGTGGCGGACGGCGTATGAGTGGGCCAAGTTGCTTCTGAGCCTCAATGATAGTGATCCGTACTGCATGCGCCTGCTGATCGATCACTTGGCCCTTCGTGGCCGAGAATACTCCCACTTTGTGGAGCTATGCACACAGACTCGGCTGAGCAAGGAGTGGGGGACTCTTCCCAACATTCAATGCTCGCTCGCCCTGGCATACCTGCGACTGAACAAACCGAAGGAGTGCCGCGATCAGCTCCGCCGAGCCATGTCCCGCTACCCATGGGTATTCTGCAAGCTCGCGCAGGAATTGGACATTCAGCCCATGCCCAAGCGCATCTGGGGCAAGATGCCGCCTACCACTGCCCACGAAATGCTCACCGAACTTTACATCTCTCGGGCCAAGGATCTCTGGAACACTCCGGAAGCGGTCTCCTTGATCGTGGAAGTAGCCGACACTCTGTCGGATGAGGAGGAGCCGGTCGAACCACCGGCGATCACGCTGGACATTGCACGCCACGTCGTGCTTTCTGATATCCCTAAAGTCACGACTTTTCTTCCGGGACGGTTCATCTCTGGCAGGATTTCGGCGTCTGACCCTCTCCCGCCGCATGAGTCGGAGGCGCATCGCCAACAGTCCGATCCTACTCCGTCTTACCTGGCACAATCTCCGGCTGCGAACCGACCTCAATGGCTTCGGGATCTTCTAGACCAGCTCAACAACGGCGGGATTCAATTCCCCGGGTTCAACCGTGATAGCGACGCCGGCGACGAGGTCATTGGGGACGAGGACGCATCGGGCCGCGGCGGCGAGACGACCAATGCACGTGGGCCCCCGGGCGCGGACCAGCAATCACAGCTGGAGCAGTGGCTTTTGGGCGACGGCATGCATGCGCTTCAGGCTTTCCTGCAGCAGTACGGTGTGGACCGAGGAAACTGGGGGGAAGTCGTCGACTATTCCCCTCTGACCGAGTATGTGGATGGGTTGGACTCGATTCAGCCCGAGTCGGCACGCAACACCTTATTGGCAGGCCCTATTCGCGAGGCAATGGGTGAGCTGACGGCTGTCATGCTGGAGGATGAATTGC